AAAGTATTGGGCAAAGCACTTGGCTTTCTCCCTAGCAGTGGTGTGCTCGTGTCCAGATCTGTCGACCAGGACAGGTATATCGCTTTGGCGGCTAACACCAGCAGCTCGCTTAATAGCTGTCCACCATTGCTTGTCTTGCAAAGGAGCCAGATGACAGCTTTCTAGAAGCTCGCTCTTTGCATTGCTGTTGGGCATGTTGCAGAACATGCACACAATGTGTAACGGATGCCAGGAAGGTTTCTTTCTGTTGCAAGCTATCGGGGTCTTGCCTCCAGACTCTCCAGGCTTCTTGCTTTAGGTGCACCGCTTGTTGGCAGGCAGGTGTCCACCAGACTGGGTCAGTGGCCATTACTTTAATGGTCTTGGAGGGAATAAACTGAGACATGGCATCACGCACAATTCCTGTGAGGGCTTCACAAGCAGCGTCAGGGTCATTTGATAGGACAGTTGGCCAGTTAATGCGGCTAAGATGTGCGCGCATCCTTCCCCAGTCTGCTCTAGCATACTGCCAGACGATTCTTAGGGCCGGCTGCTCCTTGCGGGGACGTACGGTCTTGAACTCCGTTAAGATAGTGACATGGTCTGAGCGTCCAAGAGGCGGACCAGTGGTGACAGATGCTGCACCTGGGAGGTCGGATATATTTAAGTCCAGTGTGTTGTTCTTGCGGGTTGGTTCGGAGACATGTTGGGTGAGGTAGTGCGAGGCGCACAAGTCCTCTAAGGCTTCCCCAGCAACAGTGGTCTTGGTGCTGCCCAGCCAAGCGGTGTTGTGGACATTGAAGTCACCCGTGATCAGAACATAGTCACTGAGGTGCCGGACAGCGAGCAAGGTCTCCTCAAGATACTCAATAAGACTGATATCTGACTCACTGGAGCTCCCAGACCGGTAGAGGGCGCAGAATACAATTTTATGATGATCACACGTTTCAATAAGAAGCCAGATGACTTCAAAGTCATGACATGGCACGGTGTCAAGGTGACGAAAGCACAGACCTGCGTTTAGCCATACAGCAACACCGCCTCCATGTGCAGTGCGGTCCTTGCGTACTGCGGGGCAGTATCCGGGTATGAGTGACCCTGTCGCATCTTTTGAGAGCCGGGCGGGCTGTGTGAGCCGCACTGGCAGGATGAGCCTGGTGAGCGAGATTGACTCCCCAAATTGATGAAGCATCCTATTCCCACTACGACACCAGAGATTGCGCAATAGTTGCCTAGTGTGATAAGGCAATGGACAAGAAAGAAAGCTGGGGCACAGCAGAGTGCCGGGACAGAAAATGACAGCAGAGCTGTCAATGTGTTCAGAGATCTCAGTTCGGGTATTACAGCTTACCGGCTGAGAGATGGGCAGGCTTCCATCATGAGGAGGCACAAGGTGCTGACGCTGTCTCCCCAGGACGGGATGGAAGGCGTCTTGGGTCAGATGGGTTCCGGTTGGCTGTCGGGTGGAGGTTGCGGAATCGGAGGAGCTCCTGGCGGGATAAGGCATCAGCACGCACGTTGGTGACGCCAGGAATGTGGCGTGCAGTGATCATGAAGTTGCCCTTCGCACAGATGAAGAAAATTTGTCGGAGAAGCGCCATCACATTAGGACACTTGCTGGCGCCAGATGCCACGACAGCAACTACTGCAGTGTTGTCCGAGTGGAAACAGATGCGCATGCGGCTCCACTTGTGGCCCCGGGTAGCGCATGCCACACAGATCGGGTAGAGTTCCTTGAATGTAATGCAGCGTGCAGTGAGGTGCCGAGGCCAACAGACTGCGAACCATTCAGGGCCGTAGAGTGCACCGTAGCCAATCGAGCCAGAGGCATCGGTCTCGATGGAGATATCGTCTGCCGCCGTTACATGGGATTGCAGCAGGAGGGCTTTGCCATTCCACCCCTCCAGCAAGTGTGACCACCACAGCAGGTCTAATTGGCAACCATACGACAGGCGGACATGATGGTACGGCTTGGTGGTATGCATCAGAGCGTCGTACAGGTGGCGCATGAACGTTCGTCCTGGGATGATCACCCGACTCGCAAAGTTGAAATTGCCTAGTAACTGTTCTAGCTCCTTGCGTTTCAGGGATCGGCGGGATCGGAGGGAGCCAAGCGTAGAGCGCAAGTCAGCCAGCTTGTCATCAGGAAGGCGAGCAATCATTTGGACGGAGTCCAGCTCAATGCCGAGAAACGTGAGGACATTTGTAGCCCCTTCTGTTTTCTCTTCTGCAATAGGAACCCCGAGGTACTTGAAAACAGCCAGGATAACCTCAAGATGTTGGCCGCATAGAGGGGAATTGGCAGGCCCACACAGCCAAAAATCATCCAGCAGATGCAATAAATGTGGATGGAAAACAGCTCATGGCAAATGCAGCAAAGGGCATCAGCAACACAGTTGAACAGGTAAGGGGCTGACCGCAGGCCAAAGGGCAGGACCTTGTCAAAATAGAATTGATCACGCCACTGAAAACCTAGCAGATAAGAACAGGCTGGGTCCACGGGTACAAGGCGAAATGCATTACGGATATCCAGCTTAGCCATAAGTGTGCCTGGACCATGCATGCATAAGAGGTCTATGGCGTCGTCCACCATGACGTACTGAAGAGAGAATGTGTCTTTGTCTATTCACAGACTGGCCATTGGGATAAGACAAAATTAATGGTGGATCAGACGGAGTTTCCCGTTTTTCTTTGGGACAACGCCGAGGGGTGAGGAAACAAAAACATCAAAGGGTGGGACAGAAAATGGGCCGGCAGATTCGCCGGCGCGAATACGATCAGCAATGTGGTCGTCAACAAAGGAAGGTTGTTCACGTGCAGAAGAAAGATTATCAGAGAACAGGGAATGCATAGTACCAGAGTGTCCAACATTAAAGCCATGGTCCAGCCCGTGCAAAACAAACTCAGCAAGATTTTGGTCAGATATACGTGGCAGTAATGTGTGAAAGCGAACAGTGTTCAGGGGAGTGGAAGTCGGCTTACTTTTTCTCAGTGGGCTTAGACGTCTTCTCGTGGCTATCTGCAGGGCGCTGCCACCTGAAGCGGGTGGTGCTAGTTCAGCACAGCAGACGTCGTAAACTGTTGGTTCGCAGTACAAAGTATGTGCTGATAGCAGACGAGCTCATGAGCTCGGTCAGGACGAGCACAAACGACGATGCCCATGTAGATTGTCCAGGCCTCCAGCCAAGCCGAGAATTCGTTGATCGCGAGCTTGTGCTTTGCGCTGAGGTTGAGCGAGAGCTGAGCTGTGTCGCCGCCAGCTGTAACTACAGTCAGTTTCAAAAAGATTAGCAATCCTGGCGATCGCCCGGGGAGTTTGCCGTCTTACCATATGCGCGCTCGAGAGCTGGCTGGAAAAACTCACTGTGAACTCGAAGAAATAATCCGCGCGAAAGCATGAAAAATGACAACTCACTAACGTCGGTACATGTACGTCTGGTTTACAACAAACGAGTTCTTCCTCGTATCGATATGGAGTCAGAGAGGACATGTCGAAAGTGTGGTAAATGTTGACGAGCGGGATGGGTCCCAATTCGTTTCGTGCTCAATTTCTTTGAGCTGTGATGCAATTTACTCTCACGATGTGACGAAAACGACATCGACACCGACTCATTCCCAAGGCCATGACTTGGCAAAGCTATCCGTGTGACTTCGAGGACATTTTGAGAAAAGCAGACGCCTGTGAAAGCTGATAGAAGACGGCGTTGACTTCTAAATTCAAATAAATTGGCGATCTTGAAATAGTACGAAGTAGTGACACGAAGTAGATCTTGAAATACTAAAATAATTCTCAAAGAGAAATCGATCGATCGATGTGCCGTTGTATTCAACAACAACACGTAGCTACAGCGCAATGACTTCCGTGTTCACTCACACCGTTTCAGTGTGGTGGGTGTGTTCACATGGCGTGAACCAGTCAAGTGTCCGTAAGTTCGGCAGGAAACGCGATCTCCAACAACAACAAGTCGTTTGGCGCAGCCACCTTCTTTGGCTTGTACTTTTTGTACCAGCGTGATCACATGGCAAAACAATGAAAAAAAAGTTTGACTTGAAGATAGTTTGGGATTTGAACTCACAACTTCATAGTCAGCAGACAGCATTCATAACCACAAGGCCAAAAAGGAAAGGATAAATCATGGGTTTTGATAACAAATCGATACTGACATCCAGGGCAAATTGTAAACCATGGGAAAAGGCCAGAAACCTGGCCAAAATTCTAACTCCTTAAAGGCAGGTCCAATTGTTCCGAAACCTTCACAGAACAATTTGTCGTGTCCTAACAAGCCATTCTATGTACTTTGTTGTCCAAATTTCCCTTATCTTCATACTTTTTAAGACCAAAACCTGATTGCTAATCTTTTTGAAATGGACTATAGTTGTATTGGCTCCTGTCCGTGAGAGCTGAAGTTTTCCGGCAACAGTTCCTCAAGTTCCACAAACTCTCCGCGCTGGATTTTTTCAATCGCGTGACGTGGCGGTGTGGGTAGAACCGAGGGCTCGGAGAGAACTGGAGGTCCTGGCAAAGTCGGTGGTTCCGACAGAACTGGAAGTTCCGGGCAGGATAGGTTCGGAGCTTGTCGCTCCGAGCGTGGGAGCGATCTTTCAGGTGCGGAGCGCGAGCGTGGGAGAGATCGGCCAGACTCAGCACTGTTCTCCAGGCGTTCCACGCGCTCGAGGAGAGGGTGGAGGGCGTTCATCACGGCCGAGGAAATGATGTCCGGGGAGAGCACTGAGGGCTCGTCCTGCATAGAGGCTTCGGTGCCTGGAGCGGGGTGAGAACTAGCTGCTGACGGTGTGTCGGAGGTATCAGGCGCGAAGGCGTGCATGCCGTCAGTCCGCGCGTATGGCGAGGTCGAAGCCCTACCCGAGCGGCGGATAGCCTCAACGGCATACCCGCATCCGCGTCCACGTCTGCTTCCTCGTACAGAGCCTCGTGGCATGGTGAAAGAGAGAGAGAAACTGTCTTTGAAGAGAGTCACCAGTCAGCCATGCAAATCTGAGCAGGAAGCAAACTGTGAAGTGTCCGGTGCGGCGCATGCGCCTTCTGTGTTAACTTATTTTTGCGCGCTCGCAAAAATTCATTTATTCGGAAAAGATATGATATCCCGAAAAATCAAGGCAAATCCCAGGATTTTGCCATGGCGATCCAGAGAATGCACTCTCAGTACTTGGCAGGTATGACATATATAGGCTAAAACTATTAGAATTCGTCCATAGCTGTATCCAGTCTGCTACAGGTCCCCTTTTCGACAATTTCTTTAGTCTAATTTGCTGCATGCCCGCCTAACCTCCGCATAGCTCGTGGTCATTCCTTCAATCTCCTGCACATACCCTTTGTTGAGTTCAGACAGACAAGACAACATTGGTGCTAGTTTCAGTTCTTGTCCAAAACAAACTCCAATCAAATATCCGAATCCAAAAAAAACTAAACAGTGTACGAAAACAGTGCCCATGCGCTTGCGCATCAGTAAGCACGCAGAACTAAACGATCACATGAAATATGTCATTCTGTCTGGCAATATTCTTACTTGTAGGTTTGCTAGAACATATAACGGCACACAGTGATGAGTCCCCTGAGGGTTGCGTTCTTTTTCCAGATGCAATATTGTATTTATACGGCGTTGTTCTCTTCATAACCCAAATATTCTGCACACCTACGTCCGTAAGCTTGCGGAGTTCCTCCTGCATGCAATGGGCAGCAAGAGAAAGTCACTCAGAATGTCACTACAGTTGGAGAGAATATTTTGATGGGGTCTAGCTATGGCCTCTTTTTTCAAACCCGATTGCGCTAGTCAGATAAACACAGCAGGCCAGCACTGCCCAGCAGGCATAAGGGGACGGCCTAACACTATGATCGAGAAACAGAGGGTACCAGCTTCAAGTCCCCCTTGGAAGTGGTAGGACCTCAGGTGTTTCCAACCATGTGGCGGCGGCGACCCACAGTCCAGTTGGAGCTCGTCAATCGGTGCGATGGGCAACATGGATGTGGCATATGGGGTTTGCCACTCAGGGAGTCACAGGGCAGTGGGGAGCGGTACGATCTGGTGGGGGGGGGGGGGGGGTGCGACTTTGATCCTGAAACCACCAGTACAATGGCATGGACAAGAACATTAGCAAAACAACACCAAACTTGCACATGCGCTTGGTTACAAGACCGGGGGCGGGGGGGGCCGACAATACCGTAAAAGCCCATGTATAGTGTAACGAAAAACAGTTTTAAAACGTTTTTTGTAATTTTGGCATAACAACGTGCGGAAAGTTTAACGATGTTTGTACAACAGAAAGAACATGCATCGATGTATGCGCATCTTTACACAGACATCTCAAACCCGGTTCACGATAGCGTTTCTTCGAATAACGAAAACAATAATTGGTCGTTAAAACTTTAAAAGTGCCCATGTATACGCCCAGGTGTGCTGACAATACCAGTACATGTACAGGTACCGGTACCCAGTACTTACTGCGGTGCTGTTGGATGTGTTTCGGGGTCACTTTTCCCCACCAAAACACTGTTTCTGGTTCACTGAAGTGGGGATACTGTATTTATAGTGTGCATGCTCAGCTAAAAAATGAAATGGATGCAGTTATCGAGCAAGGGGAGAATTTCAATATCTATTTTCCAAGTATACGCCCGGTTCCAAAATAACGCCCGTGCCCTTAGGCTACGGTAGCATGATCTCAGACAATACTACATTCTCTCAGGAAAAACTCACCACTCACTCAGACAATACTACACTCTCTCAGGAAAAATCACCACTCACTCAAAGTATGGAAAAGTCCGCGCAAAGCACTATAGACACGTGATGCGCACAAACCGCTCAGCACTAAAAACACAGCTAACAGTATACTACACGTAGGGTAGTGACGACAAGACAAAGTCAGATCAAGAGTACATGAAAGCCAGAGTGTGCAGCCTTTTTCTGCTATGGGTGTCTGTCACGGCGGAATTCCGTGATTACATCATGTTTGGCGCAGATCTGAGGCGGGAAATGGCGTAGTGCGTACAACTGATCAGCGGTTGTGCAGGAAGAGACCTGCTTGAATCCTGCTTGTACGCACTGCATCACTAACATGATGTAATCACGGAATTCCGCTGTGACAGCAACCCATCCCGGAGCTGCACACCCTGGTTTTCATGTACTCTTGGTCAGATGCATGGCGACTGATATCATGCACATCAGGAGCAGTTCAGTTAGTTGAGGTCGAACCTCAACAAGTACGGTAACATCATTATGTGATATGTGTTGACCTCACCTTGAAACAAGCATCATTATTTTTTTTAATTAAATCTTTGATCCATTTGTTTGTCAACGGCTTCAGTCCTTTTTCCTTACAAATTGAATTGGCAGTATCACTTGTAACATGTCCAGAATTGATAACCAGTTTGGCACTAGGACAGTTTTTTGTTGTTGACATCCCTACACATAGCAACAGAATAATACAATTAGTTACAAGTGACATATATGGATACACGATTCTTAATGAGGTGATACCTCCGACACAAACAAGTGCGACATTCTTTTTTGGTTACTTTTGGTTACTGACCGGTTTCACTACAAAGTGTAGAGTATTGAATTTTAGATTATTTGCATTGGCAGTATGGCAGACAGCTCACTTGTGTATAAGACAAAATGGCCCAAGTACACTACCTTGAGGAACACCTCTGGAGCAATCCACAGGTGCCGACAGAATATCAGCCACCTTTTTTTGCTGCCTCCAATTACTCAGGTAACTCGTGAACCAGGACAGAACAGTGCCCCCAATGCCATGTTGATGAAGTACTGTGATGAGACGCTGATGTTGTACTCTGTCAAAGGCTTTTGACATGTCCACCATAATCACACCAGTATGCTGGCGCTGAGATCGTGCCAAGAGCCAGCGATTCACTGCAAGAACCAGAGCGTCTTCCGTTGAGTGGGACTTGCGGTAGGCAAACTGGGACGCCGGTAGCAGGTGGTGGTCCTGGAGATGGGCCATGATCTGTTTCTTGACACAGTGCTCTAGAAGACGAGACACAATGGGCAGCAAAGAGACTGGCCGATAGTTTCCTGCGACTGCAGTGTCCCTGCTCTTGAACAAAGGGCTAACATATGACAGTTTGAAGCACACGGGTACAGTACCACTTGAGAGCGACATATTAATGATTCTAGCAAGATGAGGAGCAAGAACACGGGCACAGCACTGCAAAACAATACCAGGAATGCAATCACTGCCACTAGCTTTGTGCGGGTTGACGCAGGCCAGACATTGCTCAACGTCTTGCACACTGACAGGTTGAAAGGACGTCAAAGCTGATTGTTGTAAGGGGCCATGGGTCGCCTGAAGTGCAGCTGGTCGGGCTTGATCATGCACAATCTCACCAAAGAAAGCACTCAGGGTTTCGATGGGCGCCTCTGGAGTCTGCCGCTGTGTCTTCCGGCCGGTAACATTGTTCATAATGGCCCATAGCTGTCGCTGCTTGGCTGTGGCACACTGGCGGATGAAATAGGAGTTCCGGAGAGATCTATCCAGCTTCCTGGCAGCTGCATGTGCTGTACGGTGAGCAGCTCGACGTTGCTCATTACCACGGTCTTGCATCCACAAGCGATGAAGCCGATTGCGTTCCCGGACTAGGTGTACCGGCTCAGGCATGAGCAATGGGCATGGCCGCCTGTCCTTCTTCCTGGTTGCAACCAGAGGGGCGTGCCGGTCCAGCACATCATGGATTCCTGCAATAAAGTCTGAGGTCATGTCATCAATCACTATGGGTAGTACTCAGCCTTGCTGCCAGGTCCTGATTGAAATTGGGCCAGTCAATTTTGTGCAGGCGGCGCCTTCTGCTCACTGTTTCTCCTTTCGTCCGGCAGGATGTTGGTGTACGTATGTGAGCCAAAACAGCAAAGTGATCACTGATATCGAGATATACTGTCTCACATGGGCCCTCAAGTGGAGTGCTCGACAGCAGTAGGTCAATCATCGACTGCGAATGTGCTGTAACGCGAGCTGGCAATACCACGTAGTTGCGGAGGTTGAACCGTGCCAGTATGTTTCGTAGGGCCTGTGCAGAGGGCGTTGACGGAGTACTGAAGTCGACGTTGAAGTCTCCCAAAAGAACTGTACTCTACTGGCGGCCAGCACATGCTTGATCCAGAGCTTGCTCAAAGTCATTCCGATAGGCCACTGGTCGCTGAGGTGGGCGATATCCACAACCAAGCAGAGTGCTTGACACACCCTGACTAATTTCCACCCACAGAATTTCCAAATCTTGGCATTCCAGGTCCAGCATCCGTCGTACCTGTAGTGATTCGTGGCAGTATAGAGCTACACCACCTCCATGCAACACTGAACGGTCTTTCCTGAACATCTTGTAGTTTGGGATATGCATTTCTCCATCAGTTGTGGTCGGTTTCAGCCAGGTTTCTGCAAAGCCAAGGACATGAATTGCACGAGCAGCCAGAAACTCCTGCACTTCTCTGACCTTGCGCTGAATGCTACATACATTCAGGAATGACACAGTTAGCTCATCATCGCAAGTGGTGGCTGATCTCATTGATTGGAATTCACCGCTTCACTGCTGCCTGGCTGTGTATCAGCTCCACCATTGTCATGACGCGGATATTTCTCGAAATCCCAGTTCCTACTGTAAACTGGTCTAGGCCAGAAGCGCCGACTGTTTATTAGAGGGATGTACTATAACCGTGTCACTAGGACTACTGCAGACCCACAACCGAACTCATAGTTACGTTTCACACTGATTTAATTCCATGAGGTTATTGTTGGGACTAAGAAAAAGAACTAACTAAAAACAATGTTGGGAGAGCAAGAACCATGTCGCACCATACCGGACGCATGCGCATGGTGCATCGAACCGGAACTAAAGACTAAAGTACAGAGCACGCGAAGGTGCAGTACATGTATGCGCTTGCAAGCAGCAGTGTCAGGAATCCAGTGAATCGCACACACCGCACGGCAGCCACCGTTAGCACGTCATGCAGTCTATACAACGCAGTGGCTCATGATCATGAAGAGAAAGCGGACACCAACCGCACGAAGCCTATAGATTAGAAGATAAGAAGCACACCGCACATGCAGTGGAACAAGGAGTCACGCACGACTCATCCCTGAACGACAACGCCATGCAAGTACTCATGTACACAGGAAAGAACACAAACAGTGCACACAGCAACGAACAGAAGCAGCTAGTACACGTACTTGTACTAGGAGACATTCACACAACACCATGAATACTAGCTAGTGTCAGTCAGGATGGTGGAGGGGGTCACCATTACACTTCAGGGATGCAACTGTTTGTCACGACAATCCTTGCGCAGCAGGTCGTGGCATCGTCGTTGTCATCATCATCATCATCGCCGGCAACATTGTCCCTTCGGAAGATTTTGCATTTCTTGACATTGGAAGTAGCTCCGCAGCTTTACATCGCTGCTCCACGAATGTCGTCAATCCTTGCTCCGTTGTCTTGCGCCTCAGCTGCCCCACGTACACTACACCGTTCTTTTCCATAGGCTTCTTTGGAGTGACAAGCTGCCACGATCCATCATCTGAATCTGACATGTCTTCAAAGTTGGTCAGGGATTGCAGCACTCGTCTGTTGGTGTCAGCACGACTTGACTGCATTTGAATTTTCGTTTTGGCTGGGACTGGGGCATGCTGACTCTGGTCAGTACTTAGATCTACGGCCCGTAGGCCCTCGACCTCTGCGTCGAGGTCAGAGTTTGAACTTGAACGTACGATCGTGGAGCTGCTGGAGGTCGTAGATCTACGGTCTTTGCTGTTGTTGTTGCCTCCGTTCTTCTGAGCTGCTGTGCTCTTACGTTTCTTCTTCGCGCCTGCACTGGCAATGGCGGCCAAGCTGGTTGATGTTGACTCAACGGAAAGTGGAGTAGCATTTGTGATCATTAGCGTCAGAGATTGTACTTGTTGAGTCAACAGGTCTATGCGAACCTTAAGCCTCTTCTCCCTGTCTTCCGCTGCGCTTCGTTCGGCTTGGAACAATTCTACGAGCTGGGCAATGGAAGTTTGAGAGCATGACTCCGGCATTGAGCCAAAAGTGTCTTGGACACTTACACTGACCACTCCTGAGCTCATTATTGCAAAGTCTAGCCACAATGGGCTCAAGTTACCAAAAATACACCACTGAAAACCAGAGCTGAAAAACCCTCTACTGTTTCCGACTTCTTTGAATAATTGTTGGTGGTGGCATACTTCTTTGAGTTATCATTATCTTTATAATTCTGGCACGTCACAGTGGGTGCGATGTAGCACATCATAGCATCACAAATTGCATGTATATAGCTGCTCCTTTGCAAACTTGCACACCATTGCATACCTGATGAGGGCAACTTTGCTGAAACGTAAAAATTGATTGAAAAATGAGTTCGAATTTGCAGAGTGAATGGGAAGAGAGCGAGTCTGCTCTGAAACCTTTCTTTTTTTTCCTATGAATGAAGCTGCAGGAAACCTCACCACTGCTACTAAATTATTCCCGAAGCTAGGCAAAATAGTTTACATTAGTAGCGGCTAGCGGCATAGCGCTTTAATGCGTATATAATGGTGTGTGCATGTGGTGTGTGTGTGTGTGTCCCATATGCTGCAGTGGTATGTGTATTCGATTTCCGATCGAGACGTTGCGGGTTCAATTCCTGATGATTATGGCAGCACACGTCTTTCTTCTCTTTCTCAGTCTCCTCCTGACTTTTTCCCCCACATACACATCACACCAAATACTCCGGCATGCACTGATTGTTGGTAACCACCCAGGAGAAGGAAAGAAAAGAGGAAAAAAGACATGCGTGTGTGTGTGTCTGCATGTGTGTGTATGTTTGTGTATGTTTGTGTATGTGTGTGTGTATGTGTGTGTGTGTGTATGTGTGTGTATGTGTGTGTGTGTATATGTGTGTGTGTGTTTGTAAATGAGTGTTTGTGTGTGTGTGTTTGTGCTTGTGTGTGTTTGTGCTTGTGTTTGTGTTTGTGTGTGTGTTTGTGTTTGTGTGTGTGTTTGTGTGTGTGTTTGTGTGTGTTTGTGTTTGTGTGTGTGTTTGTGTGTGTTTGTGTTTGTGTGTGTTTGTGTGTGTGTGTGTGTGTTTGTGTGTGTGTGTGTGTGTGTGTGTGTGTGTGTGTGTGTGTGTGTGTGTGTGTGTGTGTGTGTGTGTGTAGCATTATGGTGATAATGCAGATTAATGGTTGCACGCAGCTTTGTGCTACCGCTCAATTTATGCTGCTACGTTTAATAGTGCTGTTACTGCATGCTCATGATTTGCTGCTGGCTATGGTCTCTGTGAGGCTTGGCACTCTGCATGATATTGAATACATCTCTCTACGTGATATTGAACGTGTCTCTTTACGTGGCATTCATGCGTGTCGCTCGCCTCCGATGTGGAAAGGGTGTGGCGGCGTGTGGCGTTCATGCGTGTCGCTCGCCTCCGATGTGGAAAGCGTGTGGCGGCGTTATGATGACGTTTGCTTGTAGCGCTCAACGTGGGTGGCATGCATCGTTGCATGCCTTGCTAGAGTTTGCTCTGCTATATATTTCGATCCATTCTGTGCGACGGTCATTCTTGCTTGCTCGTAGTGTTTCACCCTCCCACCTCCCATTTCTCATCACTAATTTGCTTTGATAAAGTGAATAAACGGGGTGTTGGCCACGCTCATTTCCGGCTACTCAGGGCCCTCGGTCGCCGTCCCTCGAACGCAGACTCTTGTAGATACTTGGCTCCGCCAACATTCTGCTTCGGCAGTGTCTACCCGGCTGACCCTGAATCCTCTCTCGTAGATACTTGGCTGCGCCAACATTCTGCTCCGGCAGTGTCTACGTATTTCTTTCCGTAGCCTCTCACTCCGCTGGCCGGCACTCCCCCGTACCGCAAGTTGCTGCGTGTTGTAGTTAGTGTGTGTGTGTGTGTTGTAGTTAGTGTGTGTGTGTGTGTGTGTGTGTGTGCGTGTGTGTGTGTGTATGTGTGTGTGTGTGTGTGTGTGTGTGTGTGTGTGTGTGTGTGTGTGTGTGCATGTGCATGTGTTTAGTCTTTCTATATGTCTGCTTACGTTCCAATACGATCAGCTTAAACGGCACTGTCACAATTGTGCTGCCATTTTCAACATTGCACTCATATGTGCCGCTATTCTCCACCGTAGGGCTACGGAAATTCAGGGCATAGTATTGAGCGCTATGGGTTTCATTCCAAGTATTACTTCCCAATGATCGACTACCTGCTTTGGTAAAATAGACCCTTGGAACGAAATTACTTTCAAATTCGACAAGGCTGCAGAGAAATCCTGTTGACTCTTCAACAAGTGTTATGATAACCTCACTACTTATGGTGACTTTACCTGCAGAAAAGAGTGCAAAAGATGGAAATAACAAGGGAAACAGAGGAAGAGAAAGTGATTTCCGCCCGCCCAAAACAAATCACAATGCATCATATCGTGTATTGCATGCACCTTTAGCTCTCACGTTACATTCAATAGCAGGGTTCCAGCCAACGGGCACAGCGACCCCTACTCTCATTCACGCATACACACACGCATACACACACATACACACACACACACACATACACACACACACACATACACACACACACACACACACACACACACACACACACACACACACACACATGCTCATGCACACACAGACACCGCTCCCCCTCTCACACACACACCGGCGGAGGAATTTAGAGAAAGCCAGAAAACAGAGCAAACGCACACGTGTGCACGCACACACGCACGCGCGCACACACGCACACACACACACACACACACACGCACGCCTGGCCTGGCCTGGTGTACAGCTGCCAAATGCTTGGCCACGCCGCCCCGAGACAGGGGAGAGTAGAAGAGAGAGTTCGAGAGAAGTCAGCACTGCCACTAGGAAGCCGCTCCGCCACGACGCCGTCCACGATTGCAATTGTGTCGCCGAAAGCCAGGAGCAGATTTAAAACAGCGATCACAGGTAGCGCAGTGCTGTTTGCGACACGGATGGCTGGTGATTGGTATGCGCTGGGGTGTGGGCGGTGATGCCGGGGCGGGTGTTGTGAACTTGTGCACAGCAAGTCCATCGGCATTTCGGAACCATTGAATCGTCTTCGGTGGAAGGACAGAATACAGTCAGACATGAAACTGCTGACTGTATTCTGTCCTTCCACCGAAGACGAGGTCCCTGAGCTGGTCGGGGAGCGTCAAGCCATCCAAACAGCAACTGCTTAGGGAGACGGTTTTCAGGCATCCGAGCTACATGGCCCAACCACTGGAGGGGGCGACGGCGCATAGTGTCCGACACCAGATCCTCATCCCCCCAACGCTCACGGAGGTCACAATTCCGGACCTGATTCAACTCCTGATCCCAGCGCGAGACTCCCAAGATACACCGTAGACATTGATGATGAAAGCACCCACGCACGCACGCATGCACACACGCACGCGCGCGCACGCACGCACACACACACACACACAATAGCTAGATGGATGTGTGTTAGAGATTCATTGGTATTGTGGTAGCTGGCTGTAGTATATCGCCAGCATTCGGTCTTTTTTTATCCCCGCAATTGAAGATGAGTTCAGGAGCCATGTTTATTAAGGCCAGCGTCAGACTACTTTCAAAGTCATGTCAACTTTCCCATCCAGCTCCCAATAGATATATCGTACAGATTCAGTCACACGTACACATATGTTGGCGCGAACATATCCGGCCAGCTATCCCGGTGCGGTCCCGGTGCCGTGGGGGGGGGGGGGGGGGACGCATCCCGTGGCATTCCGAGGACTGTTTGTACAACAGGTACGTACTGTACGTGCATCCTGCTGTGTGAATCGATTTTTGTTTTTCCCCCGTATCACGGCAAGCTCTCGGGATCACGCGCTCACTTCCCGGCGGGATGCACTGCCGCCGTGCAAATCGCCTCTATGGCAAACTTTCCACTAGGACAAATTGGGGCCAACCCTACGGCTGGCCAGGCATCAAATCGATGTGTGTCGTGTGAACTTTCGGCAAGCATGCGCAGTCTAGCCATCCCGGTACGTGGACACATACTGCTAGTAAGTCGCATAGTCGCGCACTACACGTGCACAGTCACTGCACTGTACTTTGCAACTGTGAATTCATACGACTTTCTTCCCAGGGCTCAGCACACATCCTAGTTTCGCTGCTGGATGATAAATGCTTTACATGTGCCGCAGCATATACACATTTACATCCATGCGATCTATTTTGTATACGATATGCACATTGATTTTCGGCTCAGACCTGGATGAGAAGAGCTTCGGAACAGACAAGAATTTGTACAGTCGGCCGAGTCACACACACACATGCTCACACACACACACACACACACACACACACACACACACACACAAATGAATACACACACACATACACACACATACTCACATACACACACACACACTCACACGCTCTCTCTCACACACACACACACACACACGCGCACACACACACACACACACACACACACACACACACGGCCACACTCACACTCACACACATACACACACACACACACACACACACACACACACACATGCACACTCACTCACTCTCACACACACACACACACACACACACACACACACACACACACATACACACACACATACACACGCTCACACACACACGCACACGCACGCACACACACACACGCACACACACACACACACACACACACACACACACACACACACACACACAACAACAATACAATACAATATGCCCATCCGGAGATGATAGCAGGTCCCGGAGGGACCAACAGTGTTCAAGTCACGACCAGAATCAGGCATGGCGAGTCAAGTCCTGGCGACGGCGATAGCGCTTTCCACAAGTGCAAACGAAGTCTAAGGTGACGGGCTCGGTCGGAGGGATGGTGCTGCATGCTGATCTCCATTCTCTGCGATCCTGGGCGAGGTCGTACCAGTCCGCTATCTGGCGGTCCTTCATGTCGGACACAACATTGTCCCGCCACCGCTTCCGGGGCCCATGACACACACACACACACACACAACCACACACACACACACACACACTCAGACACACACACACAGACGCGCGCAGGCGTGCACTTGAGTGCACCCATGTGGTGAACTCCAAAGTATACCACACAACAGCACGATAGATGACAGTGGCGTGTCCAGGATTTGGCGGAGGGGGGGGGGGGGGTTGCGGCCCTGGAGGGGGGGGGGGGGAGATGACATTATGTTACTGTCTCACATGTCACGCAGCTATCCAACTTTACAATAGTATTTCATGCAGTAACATTGTTTCTTCCAGAGGGATCTCAGTCCCTACAATCATCAGTGATGTTATTTAGGGCGTGTTCGAATTGTCACTCTTTGACTTTTCGAGGAGTTTCGTTTTTCTGAAGAGGTGGCCTTATTGGCCTCTTCAGAAAAACGAGACTCCTCGAAACTCCATAACCTCATCCAATGGGAGAGGTAGATTAGTTTCGAAGAGTTTGGAATAGCTAAGTCGAGATGGTTGATCTGATCGGACGTCATTATCGCCATGACAACTCCACTGAAAAACTCTAAAATGATAGAAACCGTTCTATTGGGACACTTCAACTAATCTCTTTTAAAATTTGTTCGAACAGTGATGAAGACAATTCGAACGCCCCCTAAGTTAGTACTTACCCACAATTTATCTGGAGCATATCATGCTGTTCTTCATTATGTTCTGGCTGGTCACTGATGGCAAGTGCTTCCGCATCTGGCGGAATGTTAGTCCACTCCGAACTGGACTGGCAACGACTTGATCACTCCCATTGTTTCCTGTTTTGCGCCGTCGCAAGAACGCTTTACCAAAATCCGTCCAGGCTCTGCTGGCCAGAGCTTGGCTTCTTGGGATATCGCTGCGACTTCACAGAAAAGTCTTCGAGTCAACCACAATTCATCCCGAGACGATCATCCTCAAAAACATTGTTGTACAGAGTTGCCGAAAGAAGCGCTCGCCGATGACAAGCTTTGTTTTTGTCCCGCTTGCGCAGCGCTGCATTAAGCTTATCACTGCACACCTCTCTCAAGACGCATCGAGCTCGTCCTAGAATCTGTACAAAAGTGTAGATCTCGTAGAGTCGATCTTTTCTTTCATAGTGCGGTGCAATCAACGCCGCTCACGCACCGTGCAACCGCTTTTGGACGCTCGCTTCCCACATGAACCGCCCGTGTAGCAGCCTGGTGCTTGTCAAACCCAGGTCGAAAATTTCGAGGGAGGGACGCATCCCCCTCCCCCCCCCCCCCCCAACCCGCCACTGGATGACGTGACAATTCACAGGCATCGTGCTTAACCAGTGCCACCGCAGCCCGACTTACCACCATGGCATGTTGCAATTAGACCAAGCTGCATGAGAAGAAAAAGCATCACAGAAAGAAATATGTATTATACCTCTCCCTTGTCATCTCACATAATATTATCTAAAAAAATTATGTAAAAAAGAGAAGAAACACACGAAAACGAGTTATGTTATGTGTTTCTTCTCTTTTTTTACATTTATTACTGGCTCAGTATCCGAGTTTAAACTTTTAAATTAATATTTTTTCTCAACCCACACCCCTCTACTCTGTTATCAGCCCTCTTAAGAGGTGTGTTTACCACTGCCGAGGCTTCCGATGGAAAACGAAAGAGTACTACTACAACTACTACTACTACTACTACTGACCAAACCACTTTTACGGGCAGAAAACAATACCATGGTAAGCACACAAGTAATTGAAAAGAGAAAGAAAGAGAGAAAGAGAAAAAGAGAATGCTATCCGAGAAGAGTACTAGTATATCAAGAGAAGTAATCGATTACTAAAGTCTTCGAGCCATTGTTATTTTATTGTCCAGATTGACGCAGGGACACTGAATCTCAGCCGGCAGCCTCTCGACACTGCACCAACGATGACGAGCGGACGCGACGTTGGTAGGAGGACCGGCAACCGCGAAAGCAGGTTATTGCCCACCGTACGAGGCAGAACCCCAGCCGAACACGCAATGCGCTGACGATGCTTGAATACCGGATGTCTTTATTGCGCTCTGCGAGCCGACCGGCAAGGGTCGCCAGGAAACGTGAGCACTCCGGCCCCGCCATCCCATTCGTGGCGAACACAAGAGGGGTGAAAGAGCCTCTCTCGACTTCGGTGACCCTGGCACCGTACTGCTGCTTCTTTTGCCGTTCATGGGCCCTGAGTTGGTTAAGGACTTCTGGACCAGACAGCACAGACGCCTTAGGGTGGGTTACCCTAACATCAAAATAAGCGTCATGCTGCCTTGTCCAGAAGCCCCGGGCACGAATGTCCAGCCGAGCCTCATCAGTCCGGTTAGCCGTGGCATAGGGCAGATCCTCGCCAGCCAGCGGCCGGAGACGTGGCTCTGTTTCGACATCGCGAACAGCTTCGGAGAGCGTCTATCTATCTCTCTATCTCTCTCTCTCTCTCTCTCTCTCTGTGTCTCTCTCTGTCTCTCTCTCTCTCTCTCTCTGTCTCTCTCTCTCTCTCTCTCTCTCTCTCTCTCTCTCTCTCTGTCTGTCTGTCTCTCTGTCTGTCTCTGTGTGTGTGTGTGTGTGTGTGTGTGTGTGTCTCTCTCTCTCTCTCTCTCTCTCTCTCTCTCTCTCTCTCTCTCTTTCTCTCTTTCTCCCCCCCCCCTTCTCTGTCTCTCTCTCTCTCCCCCACTTTTATCATAAAACACAAGTAGCATCTTCACCATCCATAGTCCTTCAATATGGAATCCACATACTGCCCTCACCATATTTTTAGTACGGAATATATAGCTGACAAAGTACCATGTTTTCTTTTCTTTTGCTCCACATTATCATATTAATCAATCAGTAGGAGCCGTGGTTGGCTCTGGCCATCCCGGCAAGACGGCAGATATGCCTGTTCGATTGGTGAATAAAAAAATACCATACCATGCCATACCATCTACTGCCATTGCCCTGGCCTAGCCATATACAGTGCGTATCGGTTATAGCGTGGTCGTGTAAAAGAATTTATCGCCTACAAGAATGAACTCTCGTGTTTTCATAATCATAACATGGGTTTCAAGTGCACTTTTATTCTTACAAGCAATTGTATCGCATAGTAGAATATTATCGGTCCTAAGAATGGACTTTGTGTAGCAAAACATGCCAGATTAGTACAAAGTGTATCGCCTGTAGTAATAACATCTGTCCCATGCAGTTCTGATCTGACTCGCGTTGCGTCGTAGTGCTGCAGGTTCAACTGTTGTGGTCATGTAACTCATGTTGGATAGCCGCATGGTAAGCCTATGGGACTATGACCAGCCGCATGCACAGTAGCACTACGTTGCACGTACGATGATCTTCCTGCCCCTGCGCACATGCAGATGATATTTCACACTTGATATATCGTGTGTAAGAAATATCGGAAATAGGAATAGAAAGTCCTTTTTCAAACACCCACGCTATAACCGATACCTACTGTATAGGCGAAACAGCTGTCAGAAAGAAATGTTTTACCCGTGACCCCTTCGTTGTTTGAAATTATTGGTGTGAGTAATGGCTACCGAGGGTAGCAATGATCGGCTTTAGAGCGCATGGAGGAGGAGAGTTTTATGTGTTTTAGAAACAGCCGAATGGCACCGTTCACAGTTTTAAATAACATATCCTGGCTCGCTGTAAGACTACCAATAGTGCGAATGAGATGAAGGGTGGTGACCAACCACGGCTAACTAAAAACATTCAGAGTAAGTGTAAAACTTCCTCACGTCTTGTTCTCTTCTTCTTCTTCTTCTTCTTCTTCTTCTTCTCTCCTTTCCCTCTCATCTTTAAAGTCTTACACTTACTCAGACATATCAACAAAAATTATTATAATTTTTGTTCACACATGTCTTGGGGTTCTGAAATGACTTGTAGTCTTTTCAGCACTTTCTTTGATTCGGTCAATGGTCGTGCCACGCTTGGTCAGGCTTCACGTCCGCTTCTTGCATCATTTTCATGAAACACTTCATCAACTTCAAACTCGTTACTTGTAGTGCTCCCTCATTGATTTGTTTCCGTCTTCTCTTTTGTGCCTTGTTCGTTAATTTATTTTCCTCCTCCATTTTTTCTCATATCAGTATCTTCATCATTTTGCACGAACTGTGGCAATACGCCAAGTGAGAAGGCAGATTTTACCTCTGCCTATGATGAAGTAAATAAAGCAAAATCAAACAAACAAACAAACAAACAAGTAGTGTTGAAACGATCTCACCGGATACTCGTTAGCTCGCTCGCCAGAAACTCGGCTCGTTTGTGCGGTCAGCTCGTTTGCACTAACGAACACCGTACACCGTACTCCGTACACATGGACAGTACATGTCGACCGGGGAGTCGTAAAATATTTTACGACTCCCTGGTCGATCGAGAGTCCAGTCCCGCGCAAAGTGAAAATCACTCGCAGTTACAGTAACTGTATGCCTGCACGACACTTGAGTTGTTTCAGTTGTCGTTGCAGCTTTGGTGGACTTTACTGATGTCTTGTTCCGCATCTGCTAACCTGTCGCAGGATATGCTTCGGTCACCTCTCCATTCGAGTGAAAGTAAATAGTTACGCTCAGTCGTTTGGAAGTTTTCTCCCGCGATGCAGCGAAGACCAAGGCTACTTGCAATCTTTGCAAAACGGTCTATTCTTACAAAGGCTACTCGACGACGGCGCTGAAAAGACATCTCGACATCAAACAGCAGTCCGAAGTGAAGCAGCAGCAACCCCAAATGCCGGCGGTGATTGAACCAGCTGAAAAAATCGAACTTAGAAAAAATGTATTCAAAAAATCATATTTGCCACATCAATGAAACTCGTTAGCTCGCTCAATAGCTTGCTCGTTAGTGGAACTGATCGCTCGTTTGTTATAGATACGCTCGTTTCAACACTACAAACAAGATCAGTGAGTTACACGTGGGGAGTATGACTCACCTCAAAGATCAGCAGAACTGCCAGCACCTTGAATCCAGCCATTGCACATGCAATATTCAGCAAGCAGATTCTCAGCTTCTGGAAGTATGAGTAATGCCTAAATACAAGGATACAGCACAGTTAAGGACAAATTGAAAGTGAATCCAATATCGAAAGATGTGCATGCATCAACGCAATCTAAACCAGTCTTGCAGGAAAATTCAGAACTGAAACTTTAGAACGTTGGTTCTCATACAAGACTGATGTGGACTGCGTCATACAAGACTGATGTGGACTACGTCAATGCATGCCTTACAGGCTTCATGTTCATTACAGTCGACCTACCCTTATAACGATATTACTCCTACGATGATGTAAAATGGGCTGACCACTCGACATTTTCCATTATATAACAATATCTAGCAGGGATTACGCCAGTAGAGTCTGCTATTCAAATAGGGCAAGTTTCACTTGATAAGTCATTCGGAAATGAGAAAATGCAATGGGGGGGGGGGGGGGGGGGGAGGCACCAGTGCTGCTTTTCTGTGTATATAATGTGCATAGAACATACATGTACATTCGTTTTTGATACTCATGAAGAGTGTAAAAATGAACAAAAATCATGTATTATGACGTACATGTACGAAATGAACAAGCGCCCTTATAACAATAATACCCTTATAACGATATTTCTTGGTCTGACGCAAGTATCGTTATAAGGGTAGGTCAACTGTAAATTCAAACGCCAGCACATACGGTATCAAACAAAAACGACTGGACTGAATATTTGCACGCACCCCAGGTTTTGCAGCATTGCCCTGGTCGTTCTATTCAAGGGAGGTTGAAGAACAAATGAACAGCTGAGATGCAAAACCCGGTGAGCGCCAAATTTGAGAAAAATCAGATTTTCAGCTCAATGTACACAAAACGTCTGGGGGCCGGCAGCACCCAGCAAAATTTCTAATCCAAAATCTGACTAGAACCATTCGAAACTGGAACCCAAATATGAATTTAGATACAAACTGCACATAAAATAAGTCCTTTTCAAGTTAGCCAATGGAGTGTTGGACCATTTTGTGTGCCCATAGAGGCTCAAGAGAACACTGAACACCGTCACGCACGGACGTGCTGCACTTGTGCATAGACTGATAGAGGTCCTGTATTGGGGAGTTCAGTTCCAGCCGCCGGGTCAGGGGAAAACTGCTCAATCGGGAGCTGGACGGGCGGGGTTTCTGGTGGACTAACCACACTTTCCCCTTGTAAAAGGAACACTCAATTTCAGAAGACCCAGTTAGCAAAGATGACTTACTAGTACTTCGAAACTGAGTCGAAGACGTTCTTCTGCGGAAAAGAATGGCAGAAAAGAAAGAAGAGGTACAACAATGTCTCCAAGGTCGAAACTCTTTCTTGTAATGGATGAAGAAACTGTAGGAAAGACGGGGGAAGGGGGGGGGGGGGGGGGGAGGGAGGAGAGAGACGCGCAACACTGTTGATTACCTTTAAGTTCGCTCTTCTCAAGTGAATGAGAGAAGCAGCGTAAGCAATGGTAAATATATTTCCGGACGAAGTCTAGCGAAAACGCTCTAGACGGACCATGACAAATCCCACTAGGGAAGTAGGCAGGTGCCGCCAAGTGTGATGCCGGTGTCTATTTTGATTGCCCTCTCTGTACGAGACACCGCGTCGGCAGCCAACAGCTTCCTCATCCGGTATCCCATAGTAGGAGTTATCCATATAAAAACCGCTCTGTGTCCACATAGTACAAGAACAGCAGAGCTTCATCAACAATTTGGGATCCAGATTTCGCAGCAAGTATCAGCTACCGTAAAAGGCTAGTTCTTGTTGCATGCCATCACGCCACCTAGTACCTACTTTCAACCACTGAACCAGGGACTTCTGTGAAAACTTGCAAAGGATATTATTATGTGGGCCTGCCTCGCTCGAGGGAGACCTTAAAAGGCCGCCCATTGACCGCCAATGGCCTTTGACCTCCGTAGATCTACGAGAGGCCCGCATTGGAGCCAGGGAGTAGTACATGATGGGCCGCATAGGGCCTAGTTATAGTTTTTTTTTGATGGTATTGACTATTGTACTACTCGGAGTCTCCCTGATTGGAGCCCTCAACAGCTCCCGACGTCAGCTAAGGTCTGGAGTAGAAATAATTATTATCAAGAGTACATGGTGTTATGTACTCTTGTTATTATGACTACAGGTATTTATTATGCCCCTACCCCTAGGCCCTCGCGGTTTCGAGCCACCCTTGTGCAGAACTTGTTTTCTTCTTTTCTATACTGGTTTTGACAAGAATAGCGCTAAAAATATAGCCTACATGATCGCCTGACAAACGGTATGTTCTGGTGGCATCATGAAACTTGGTAGGTACTTTCCAATCCACCAAAAGAATATCCATGCCAAATGTTTGTTTGTTTGTTTAGCTTTATTCCAAGCAGGACTTGAACCTGGTACCGTGCCTCTGTTTCTCAATCATGGTCTTAACCATCCCACTATGCCTGCCTGCACTTGGAAGCGGAAGGATTTTTCCAGCCGTGCTGCGACCCACAGTTAATTGGGAACTCGTGGCCTGGCACGAGGAAAACATGGTGGATGCAGTGAATGGGATTTTCAGTCTTTGACCACATGCTGGTGAGCTGATCTACTCACCTCCCGCCGCTTTAAGAGCTGCATCTGCGCCTTGATACTTGAAGGGTGGTGGCGTTCCTACGGATGCGGAAAACCCGGCTTCCAGCCGAGTCTCACGCGAACCGTGAAATTAATTTAGCTTAGTTTACTTCACCAGAAGCACAGGCAAAATCTGCCTTCTCACTGGGCGTATTGCCACAGCTCTCGCAAAGTGATGAAGATAGTGAAAATGATAAGAAAAGGAGGAAGAGCAAAATACAATCATTAACAAAGCACAAAGAGAAGACGGAAACAAAATCAATGAGGGAGTACTACAAGAAACGAATTTGAATTTGATGAGGTGTTAAATGTGAAGGAAACCTGTAGCGTACCTTCCCGCCTATTCTTGTGCTACATTATGTTTAATATGAGGCACGTTCGTCATCAAGCAGTTTCAATTTTCTTCACAGCAGTATGTGAATTTACCTCAAAATCGACAAATTGAGAGCACTGGACATGGATACTGTAGAACGGGTAATTATTATTTTAGCGACTATTAATTTTAGCGTTTTCTCATTGTCAACCGGTTAGCGACGTTTTATTTTAGCGATTTGCAGCGATTTTACTCACGGATTACCAGTGCACTACTAATGTCTCAACGGATTAGCGACTTGAAACTTTAGCGAAAATGAGTAGATCGCTAAATTCGCTAGGGTTCTTACGTCGCTAAAATTACCCGTTCTACAGTAAAGTATGTTTCGGGTTGCTACAGTGGGGTCATTAGTCACTCATTACTTTACAAAAGTGCAACAACTACAAAACTGACAGAGTACTGAGACTTTCCACAACCTGACACCCACACATATACATGTAGCTTCAACACATCTCCGAGGCGCTATAGGCATAGTAGACTGTATAGCATAGCCAACAGCTACTGAGTATTAACTACAGCTACTACAGTTGGCATTGGCATGCTCTGCGGATTTGTAGGCATGCTAGGCAATTTAAATATTATCCTGCAAAGTATTTTGTAGGTGCGTGACTACTACGTCATGTACTACAATTGGTACATGACTTAATAGCCCTATCAAAAATTTGATAATAATAATAATAGCCGTCTGGCATGGTACAATAACCTTTTTTTTCTTTTTTCTTTTTTTTAATGGCTTTCTCTTCTTCCTCGAATGGTTTACAATCTGTATCACAATTATTTGTGGGTTCAGCAATAAAGGATGTGATACAGCTACTACAGTGCGTATCGGTTATAGAGTGGTCGTGTAAAAGAATAATACTGCCTACAAGAATGAACTCCCAGGCTTTCACAATCATAACATGGGTTTCAAGTGCACATTTATTCTTACTTGTACAAGCAATTTTATCGTACAGTAGAGTATATCGGTCCTAAGAATGGACTTTGTGCAGCGAAACATGCCAGACTAGTACAAAGCGTATCGCCAGTAGTAATAACATCTGTCCAATGCAGTTCTGATCCGACTCGCGTTGCGTCATAGTGCTGCAAGTTCAGCTGTTGTGGTCATGTAACTCATGTTGCATAGCCAAAAGTAAGCCTATCGATAGTATGGGACTATAGTAGTTTGGCTTTCCAAGTTGCGCTATTGCAAATAATGATTTGCTTTGATAGTAGTGACTGGGGTCCAGCGGATAATGCTCCGAAAATGTTCGTATACCGGTTATGCTAATCAAAATGCCCCAAAAACTACCTTGTGATGCTGATTATAATGCTTTAACAAGGGCTATAATGCTCTTGGTTTGGAACAAAAATGGAAGAAAGGCTGCACATTGTCAAACTTCCAGGAAAGGATGCATTTAGTCGATCTGCCTCTGACGCTGCTACACTTCTTAGCACTATAAGACATGATCGCGTCTCCATTGGCTGCTCTCCATTGCAACTTTGATGCAGGGTTGTGGCTGAATAGTGGGTGTATCAAATCTTCTCCCTTGCTTATCCATGTAGTGAGAGGTGAAACCATTATTGCTGGTGATCATTTGGATGCTGGAAGCATATCATGGGAAGTGGTATTCCTGCCTGCAGACAAGCTGTCACTGCTTCCACTCTGTGAAAAATGTCTTCATCTGAGACAGCTCACGTGAGGCCAGTCGAGAGACGATCTCAGATCGAGATCCCTCCCATTTGCGGAAATCCTGAAAACACGTGGTCAGAAGTTATTTTGCCGCTCTACATCCTCTGCTTGCGCTGTCTTCTTCTCCTGAGGTTGCGCCAGCAGGCTCGAAGAAGACCTGCGACTGCGGTGGATATTCCATTTGCGTTTGTCCACGCATGAGCGCCTTGTCACCAACTTTGGTGTTCACAACCTCAGCCGTTTTGAGTTCTCTGATGTACAACGCTACCTGCTTGGCTTGGGATCACGCTTCCTAGTCACATCCTCAATCGCCAACCACAACAATTTCTCGACCGATTTAGCGCGTTTTGAGCGACGTGTACGCTGGAAGGAAGCTATCGAGGAAGGTCCACACGGTCCCCCTCAACAAAAAGGATCCATAAAGAAATTCCACAACGCCAGTAAACGGTTGCCGCCACCTGCTTTCCCCGGGTACCGAACTGAAACTAGTTGAGCTCCGGTCGGAGGCGACCGCCTTGCGCGACGCCTGCAAGCCATGACGTCGAATCACCACCAGCGCCCAGCAGGATATTGTTCTGTCACTGCGACAGGATCCACGTATCATTGTCCGTGACGCAGACAAACATCTGGGTACAGCTATCCTGAATTCCGATGAATTTGCCGCCGAAGCCGCCCGACAGATATTCACTTCGCGTACGTCGAGTCTCCTCCATGGCTCTCCATGATTTCTAAAAAAGAACTCCTCGTAAATCATGTAAATCATCGTTACGGATTTTGTGTAACACTAACAGCCTCAGTTGCAACGTTGGGCATGCTACATCACCTGTACATTTACCTGACTACATTGCTACATGAAGACTTTATGTAGCAATGGCATTACATGTATGCAGTCAGGTAAATGTAGCATTAGTGCTAAAGCAGTAAAGGTGTCACGTGTCCCAGAAGCGGCTGGGATCTCCTGTGAACTCACTGCGGTTGCCTGGTTTGCTATCCGTGTGAAACCTTAGCCGCGTGAGTAGCACCTGAAAATTGTTTATTATCACCACTAGGCCTTGGCGGATAGGGGTGCGCGGATTATGCTCGCACGCACCCGATATTATGCTTTCGGGCATTTCCCGCGGAACTTCGAAAGTATTCTCCCAAAACATCGAAAAAATTCTCCAGAATTCCCCCCAAAAAAAGAACCCCAGCACGAACCGTGCCTTGCGCATCCTCTTTAGTATGCAAAATGGACGGTCAGGCACGTGATCACTGCATGCAGGATCTACACTACACACTAGATCTACATGACTGTGTACACAGCTACTAAAAGTACTACAGTAAGATCGGGCGCCGAAGAACGCAGGGGCTCGAGCGCAGCCTAGGAAAGTTCTTAAATTTTTGATTCTAGCCAGTAGTCCTAGGGCCCATTTGAAATTTCTCACTTTTACTTGACACATGTTTGCTAACATGGATTTTATGATCATTCCTGGATGGTTTTTGCCTCCTGAACACGATGGCATAGATTTCGATTGCCGAATTGTGTCCGAACATGGTGAAAAACATCAAAATAGAAAAAGGCCGTTATTACCATGGCAACCTAACTAAAATTGCTCCTATATCCATTTTTACTGACATGTATATGGCCAAGTAGCACCTCATTTTGCTCAGAATAAGCAGTAGATACAGTACGGCGACAAGTACTGTACTTTTACAGTGTCAAAACAAAATTTCCAAAGTGCAATGAAACTCGGCTATTGGACATGTACATGTACATGTACATGTACATGATTGTACATTACATGTCGCGTCGAATGTTAGCATTGAGGTACGTGTACATGGATGTGCAGCTAGCAGGTACATGCAGGGCCGGCGGAACCGGTCAGGCTGGTCATGCCATGGCCGGAGCACTTTCCCAGCTGGATGGTCCATGTGATTCGTGCAAAACCG